ATCTTTAATTTCGGAACCAATATCTTTTAAATGTGATTTTGTAGATTCTTTAAATGATTTTCCACTAATTACATCTGATCCAACATTTGATGCAAAGTTTAACGCTTTTCGCCCTAGATATTTTCCTACTTTACTAAGAATAGGAATAGATTTACGAAATAAATCTCCAAAAAATCCATATCCTCGTTGTATTTGCTGTCCTGCAAAATAATTCCCTGTTCCTAATTGTCGTGTGAGAGGAAATTGTAACTCAGGTCTGAATATCGTTCCTCCCGCCTGATTACAGTAATAGTTTATACAATCTTTAGGATCCAGCTTCATTTTGTACTTCTCCAAGATGAACTAACATTAGCAAATAAAATTAAGCACTATTTATAATTGTTTAAAAGATAAAACTAATAATGTTTTGCCTCCAAAAAAAACAATTTCTTTTCCACCAGCGGTTCTCAACTCGATTTCGATAGTATCGATATAATTTTTCTTCAAAGGGAAATATAAAGGTAAGGGATAAACTCTAACTATTTGATTGGTCTTTTCTCCTATAACTGGTATAACTCTTAGAAGAAGAGCTGTTATATCTCCAACGTGATGAGAAGCAACAATATTCGAATAAATAAAAATTTCTGAAATTCCTGCAGACAATTCGAGTAAATATTCACTTACATATTCACCCACTAAAAATTTCTGTTTTAAATCCTGATAAATCTTTTAATTCGTTTCCAAATTCAATTGTTATATTTTTAGGAACTTTTAAAATGATTTTGTTATTAGGCAGTAATCCTAATTTAATATTCTTAAAAATTCCGAAAAATTTTTCGGCTGAGGAATATAATTCAATAGGATTAAAAATTTTTTCCATTACACCAATTTTCTCAACAACTTTTTTATTTTTCGTTTTTTGAAACCGTGTTTTCGTATTTATTTACTATTGAACACAAGACTGTGTTATTATTAAAACACTTGGCGTTTATCCTCTTTATTCAGTTGATACAGGCACTTTTACACGTTTCGGGCGTATAGCCCCTCATCAGTCATTTTAATGTTGCCTGATTGCATTTTTAATGTTGACTGATGAGACTAATGTTGACCCAATATTTACCGTTATATATATTTCGAAACTAAAGATACATTTGATTTTGTTTGATAGAATGAGGCAATGCAACGCATGGGCAATCTGCCGAGAGGGGATGCCTCTACAAAGGACTATTATGACTCTTATACAGAGGACTATTGAGACACTAATTATGTGTTAGAGAAGATAACCTGGAAAACATTCTGATTTTTTGTTTTTCTTATTTTCAGAAATTTTTCAGAACACACTACTCGATGACACGATTTTTTTTTTATTATGGAAGATCTTGCAACAAACAAGAATACATTCGCAAACAATTGAATATAAACATGTTATAATTTCTATTCGACAAATATAACCTTTTTGTATTTTAAAGCATCGTGTCAAATAATTATTTGTATTAAGAAAATAATTTTGTTTCCAATAAAACATTCGAAAACGTTGACTATTTTAAATTTATTTGATCGTAGAAAAACGTTCCAAAATAGGAATTTTTTATATTCCATAATCTATTTATAATATATAATGTGTGTCTGTGTATTCAAGTGTTTTGACACCAACAAAGAAGCTTCGTATTATTCAGCATTTATAAGTGCAGTGGGTAAACATTAAAGACTTTTTTCTTAATTTTACAATTCTAAATAATTCTCTGTATGACGCTTTGCATAATCGTCTACATTTAATTTAACAATTTTCAGCTTCTGTCCATTACCATGATTTTGGATATGGCAACGTCTAATAACCTTTCCGTTCTGAAAATATATTTTGGCCAAAAACGTTAGTACTTTTTAGTGTAGTTTTTTAATTTCTTGTTTGCAGATTATCAGTTATTCTCATACATAATAAATAATTTCATAAATAACTTGTGTACACTATTGTAATGGTTAATAAACGTTTTCAATAATCTTGAGGCTGCTGACAAGATGTAATAAAAGCGTAGAGAAGGAACTTAGATATTTGTACTTCTAAACCATAAAAATTATTTTTACTTTCTATAAATTGTAAATAAGTATGCGTGTAATCTTACCTGTGACAGATTGAAGATTTGTTAGATACGGCAGAAGTAGGAAGTGTTCTTACAGATGGGAAGAAGGCAGTAGTAAGAAAATTATATTCATTTAAATTCAAGGAATTATTCCAGATTAATTTTCAAAAGGCTGTATTCGTAAATTCAATGTATTGAAACTTGTATACAACAGATTACAGCGTAAAAAGAGACTTGCGACTTGAAACAGATTATGGCCTTGCAACTAACAAGAGCGTTGCAACAGATTACAGTCTTGCAGAAGACATTTGTTAAACATAAATACAGCAGTTTAAACTGCAACACATTACAATACCGCAAACTTGTGAAAGCGAATTTTCGATTTATTATAATAATAACCCTGTTTATATTTATACTAGAGCAAAGAGCAGTATCGAACAATTGTTTAATGTAAAGTTTAAAAGATATTCACACGCGTTATCCTCGATAAGTAGACATTGTTTACATTTCACTAGAGCCACCACAAAATTTAGTGGCAACCGTGGAAAAGAATAGAAAGTAATAAATTTAATTCATTTATTTACAGATTACACGTGGTATTTTATTATTAACATTACTGAATGGACTGCATTGTTAATGTTCAGCATTCTGCTGTACGTTGCACTTGAACTTGTATGTATAATTATGTGATTTTTTAGTATATATGTTGACTTTTCTAATGTATATAAATGAGTTAATGAAAATTTGAATTTATCAAAATTCAAAAAATTTTTTGTACTTGACATTTAGTTCAAATGATTTGCTTAAATTACAACAGAGCTGCAGAATCTTTCAGATGTCATGCAATTTAAAGAAAATTGATGGATGGTAGAGAATTTTTGTTGTTGTTGTTGTTTAATTCTTTAATTTAGATATTTTCAGGACAACCACATACTTATGATCCCTTGGATGATATGGATTTGGATTATAATGATTAAAACTGCAGCTGCAACAACTATTGCAATGGCACTCGCATCTTTATTACCAGTTTTTGTAAGTAGTTTTATGTTAAATATCAAGTTATATATAATGGACTATCTGTCTTCCCTCTATATAACCCTTTCATCGATCCGGTTTTTTTTTGTAGTTATGATATTAAAAATGTGCAATTAAAAACCTGGACACTTCATGAAATTCCATAATATAATCTCCCTCGCACAGTTTTTAATTTAAGTTTACTGCATTTTATAAGTTTATAAGGAAAAACGAACTGGATTTGTTCTTCGTTATTATTAACCTGGTGAAACGTGGAATCACGCCCCTTTTCTTATTTTATTACCTTTACTCCTCCTGATAAGTCCACCAGTAGCCGAGTGAATAAAAACTACTACACAGTGGTAGTTGGTCGTGTGTTGGCGTGGAGTTTTTCGGGTTTTCTCCTCCTGTTTGACACCTATGTAAGGATCAGTTAACCATAACCATAAAAGTCCTCCCGAAGAGCACCTACTCCTGCATTAATGCACTTTTATGAAATGCTTATCCTGATCTTTAAAACACTAAACTGCACATCTCTTTAACTTTGAAGAATTCAATGATTGATTTAAGATCTGTTTCAACATTTTTTATTACTTTACAGATTATAATGCTTTTAAGTCTGTCAACTTTCATATTCTGCTGTACAGGGGTAAGTATTTAAATATAGATAAAATAAGCATACACTAGCTTCGATATAACGTCCTTCTTTTATGACTCACTTCGGTTTCTTTCAACACTCGATGTAATGCCAATTTTAAAAGCAAATCGTGGCGACATATGGAAGCTCGGATGTATTTCATTTTTTAATTCGCAAAACATTTAGGAAGAACTTTCTTATTTTCAGATATACTTTTTCACTTGCGTCTACAATCATTATACAATTCTTAAAATGCGGAAAGTTCTTGTTACACCTGAACAAAAATCAAATATTATTCGTGTCGCTAAACCTGAAGAAGATTTGGATCTTTCCGACAACATCCAAATTCCCGACAAATTAACATCAATTACAAACGATGTTCCTCCTGAAGAAGAACCTGATATTCCTGTAGTTCGTTTTACTGAAGAAGTGTATTAGAAAACCAATTTTGTATTATATAGTGAGCAACATATTGTAATAATTATAAATTAAATGTTTTCCTTCAAAATATTGCTTTTTTTATACAGTATTTTTATAAAATCCTTCTACTCCTATTCGTATGAAATTTACCTTTCTTTAATAAAAAATTCCTTTTTACTCGGCTACTCTACCTTTCCACCCTTCTTCGTAGCAAACACGCTCGCTCACAGTGCCGAGTGCATAAAACCACCGAACTCTGGTCGCGTGTTCACGTGTGGCCAAATGGTCTGACCACGTGGAATTTTTTGGGTTTTCTTTACTTTTCTAACATCTAAATAGAGCCATTTTCCCATAGAATTCCTCCAGAGAGGTAACCCCTTTCAGCTGATCGCCAATGTGACTCATTGCCGTATACATTTGATCTAATTCCAATGAAAGCATCGATCGGACACCAGTCAGGATTGAAGTCTGCTATGGTGCATCTACCACTGACGAAAGATGAATTCTGTTCTCGCATCTAAATATATACACTAAGAATTATATGTTTAGTTTGTCCTCATCATTTTTTACTACTTTTGACATAATATTGAAGGAATTACTTTGATCCAGTGTTCATTATCCCGACAAAAACTCGAGAATCAAATCGATTTGCCAATACTGTACAAGGTACCAGCCGTATTATTTAGTACAGGCAGGATTTACAGCTTAAGAAATAGGGATAGATACTGCAGGTTAGTACTAGCCACGATAATTAATGGAGTCTGGATAGATTCAAACAGTCATATTGTTGATATCCAAAGTCTCATAGCGATAAAAAAAAGAATTATTATTGGCTATATTAACATAAAGCAATAAAATTTGACAAAAATCACTGTAAAAATTATAAGCTTTCACGTAGACACGAAAAATTCAAACAAAACAGCCAGGCAAAAGAATTTTGCTTTCACCCAAGTGATAAATACTGTTATGAAAGTAAGGACTTCATTGAAATAAAAACACAGAAGACATGTACATATTTTATTAATTTTTCTTTAAAATCACAATCTAGTCTACAATTAATTGTTTAAAACACATTTTACACTTCAAGTTTTCTGATGAAATTGATCTGTCATCGAGGACAAATACGTATACAGTGTATCATAGAAAATAATTTAAATATAATTTTTTATTCGAACACAAACAGTTATTCAAATAAATATTTTAAAAGTTGGTATTTTATTTATTCTTTAGTTTATTTTTTTCAGAAATCTTCCTTAAATTTAATAAGAGATCCACGAAATTGTAAAAACTTTGTAAAGTTATTGTTCTTGCTAAAAAGAGAACAAATATATAAATTTTAATTATGAGAAATCTCATTTAAAAATGTATATTATTCTATTTACTAAATACTTTCATCCGTACTTTTTAAAGTACTTCCCATTGATACTTACCTAATGTCTTCAGACAAAGAAACACAGGTAATTTTCCATACACATTCCATTGCTTCAAGATTTTCATTAAATAACTTTTCTATAATTTCAATAATTTTTTTTACGTATTTAAACGTCTCATTAAATAAATATTGTTAAGAAAACAGATTAATAAAAGAAATTATATAAAAAGTAATATTCTTAATGTTTAAAATTGCATATAGTAAAACAAATTTGTACTTACTTTCTTGAAATATCAGAAATAGCTTATTGTCATAGAACGAGAAAATCCCTTTCTTCTTATTCATCCTGATAGCTTCTGTGAGGCGTAAAACATTTATACCAAAATCTCTAACAAATTCACTGAGAGATACGTGAGGGTCAACAAAGGATGCTTTCAATCTCAAGACATCATGAACCTGAAGGCACATCTCGACGAGTTGCATGATTATTCCTCTTATCATTGCTTTTGACAAAAGCAATTGCTAGAATAATTTTCATTATTTACATACATTTATCTAAAAATTCAATTTGGGTTTCAATTCTGTTTATAGACTATTGTATCTTTTTATCAGGTTGGATTTAATTGATGCAATAACATTTGGGCGATCTGACAAGGGGAGGAATTTTCTCTCTGTAGAATTTTCTATAGAAAACAGTCTCCTTTTTAGGTATTTAGTGAAGAAAACCCGGAAATCCCCACGTGACTAGTCCCTTGGCGAGACACGAACCTACGACCACCATTGTTTACTAGTTTTATCTACTCGGCCACCGGTGGGCACAGACTACAAAATCCCCGAAAGTATACAGATTTGTGTAATTACAAGAATTTTATAATGTAAAACTGCTAGGAATACACAACATACTTACATTTCTTCTTGTTGTTAAACATGTAAATTGTTTCATAGAGAATATAGTGTTGAGAAACATATCTCTAAGGCAAGGTATACACTCAAATAATTGTTTTTCATCTCTCTTCTTCAGGAACCTGATTCCTCGCTGGAAAAAAAACTTATGTATTCAAGAAACACACATTTCAATATATTACAACAGACAATTATCTAACAGTACTCACTGGTGATTGAGTGAAACGAATAGAGCGCAAAATTGAGTAAGTTTCCCCACCTATATAGTTTTATATTAGGAAAATGTCGATGCTAATGTTAAATTTATAATTTTCTTTGCTTACAATCAATCAGTTGTGCCTTCATTCAAGCATCGTAACATCTATTTAACTTGCAAAAGTTACAATCATCAGGAAGACGTGGACAATTGCCATTCTTTACACATTGTGGCACTACCAAGTTGGATACGCAATCATAGAAGAAATCCAAACAGTACAAGAAAGCCCATGATTCATATGTATTTAGTATGGCTTCGTTAACTTTGCAAATTACACATTTTCTGACAACCACTGGAAAAATTTTGTTTTTGTTAGTGGTGTTTGTTTATACATTAATTAATACGACATTCGTGAAAAATACAACACATACCTTTACTCTTAGGTCGATTTTTGCATACCCTTGCTCTAAATCTGCAATACGAATTCGCTATATAAAATTTAAGATATTTTATTTAGTTAGTGTCTTGTATTTTATATCAAGAAATCCACCAGTATTTAGTGGATAAACCACTAAACATCGGTGAGTCCGAATCTGCCTGCAACTAACTAACCAGAGTTTAGTGAACAATCAGAGAATACTGATAATTGGTCAGAGATTAGTTCCTCGCCAACCGATTGTAGTTTTCAGGATTTTTTACGTGGGTAACAGGGCATATCGTTCTGCTGAGACTTACTCCTCCAATATGACGCGTTGCCTTATTCCATCAATTCAACGTTTTCATCGGGCTAAGGAATTTTAAGGCTTGCATCATAACTTGGGAATAAAGAACTTTAAGAGTGAAATAGTCAATAAGCGCCATCCTAATCAATTTTCGATTGAGCTTCGATCTCTTGTGGCATCAGCACACTTTGCATGAACTTATACAATGTTTTTAATTTTGCTTAACTAACCTTTCGAGATTGTCTAGCGTGTTGTCATTTAGCGAAATATTCAAAGGATCCACCTTGCTGAATGACCGTTGCCACTTTTAGTTCATTTAGAAGCCAGATAACCACACGTTCTTGTCGATAAAATGAATTTCTAATGCAAGGATTTCTGCACTTCTAGGAATGTATCAAAGAAAAGCTCCTAAATTAAATTAAATAACTCTTGGAATATATTTTAAAAAATAAATAATCGTTCAAACTCTAATAACGGCCATTTTTATGGTCCCATCAGTGGCAGTTGTTCAGAGGTTTGGCTGTAAATTCTACGTGCGGAAGAGTAAAATATTGTCATATTTCGTGTAAAATTTTTCCATATTTAATCTAAATACATTTTTCACTTAAATATTTTGTAAATTTTTCATGAAATTAAATTTATTTTGTTTAGGTANCGAACACAAACAGTTATTCAAATAAATATTTTAAAAGTTGGTATTTTATTTATTCTTTAGTTTATTTTTTTCAGAAATCTTCCTTAAATTTAATAAGAGATCCACGAAATTGTAAAAACTTTGTAAAGTTATTGTTCTTGCTAAAAAGAGAACAAATATATAAATTTTAATTATGAGAAATCTCATTTAAAAATGTATATTATTCTATTTACTAAATACTTTCATCCGTACTTTTTAAAGTACTTCCCATTGATACTTACCTAATGTCTTCAGACAAAGAAACACAGGTAATTTTCCATACACATTCCATTGCTTCAAGATTTTCATTAAATAACTTTTCTATAATTTCAATAAGTTCATTTTCCGTATTTAAACGTCTCGTTAAATAAATATTGTTAGGGAAATAGATTCCTAAAAGAAATTATATAAAAAAAGTAAATATTCTTAATGTTTAAAAATGCATATAGTAAAACAAATTTGTACTTACTCCTTTGAAATATCAGAAATAGCTTAATGTTATAGAACGAGAAAATTCCGTTATTCTTATTCGTCCTGATAGCTTCTGTGAGGCGTAAAACATTTATACCAAAATCTCTAACAAATTCACTGAGAGATACGTGAGGGTCAACAAAGGATGCTTTCAATCTCAAGACATCATGAACCTGAAGGCACATCTCGACGAGTTCCATGATTATTCCTCTTATCATTGCTTTTGACAGAAGGAATTGCTAGAATAATTTTAATTATTTAATTACATTTGGGTTTCAATTTTGCGTATAGACTATTGTATCTGTTTATCAGGTTGGATTTAATTGATGCAATAACACTTGGGCGATCTGACAAGGGGAGGAATTTTTTCTCTGGAGAATTTTCTATGGAAAACGATATCCATTTTAGGTATTTAGTAAAGAAAACCCGGAAATCCTCACGTGACTAGCCCCTTGGCAAGGCATGAACCCACGACCACCAGTGTTTAGTAGTTTTATCCACTCGGCCACCAGACACACAGACTAAAAATCTCCGAAAGTACACAGATTTGTGTAATTACAAGAATTTGATAATGTAAAACTGCGGGGAATATACAGCATACTTACTTTTCTTGTTATTGGTAAACATGTAAACTGTTCCATAGAGAATATAGTGTTGAGAAACATATCTCTAAGGCAAGGTATACACTCAAATAATTGTTTTTTGTCTCTCTTCTTCAGGAACCTGATTCCTCGCTGGAAAAAAAACTTATGTATTCAAGAAACACACATTTCAAAATATTACAACAGACAATTGTCTAACAGCGCTCACTGGTGATTGAGTGAAACGAATAGAGCGCAAAATTGAGTAAGTTTCCCCACCTATATAGTTTTATATTAGGAAAATGTCGATGCTAATGTTAAATTTATAATTTTCTTTACTTACAATCAATCAGTTGCGCCTTCATTCCGGCATCGTAGCATCTATTTAACTTGCAAAAGTTACAATCGTCAGGAAGACGTGGACAATTGCCATTCTTTATACATTGTGACACTACCAAGTTGGATACGCAATCATAGAAGAAATCCAAACAGTACAAGCAAGCCAACGACCCATATGTATTTAGTATGGCTTCATTAACTTTGCAAATTACACATTTTCTGACAACCACTGGAAAATTTTGTTCTGTTAGTAGTGTTTGTTTATACATTAATTAATACGACATTCGTGAAAAAATACAACACATACCTTTATTCTTAGATCGATTTTTGCATACTCTTGCTCTAAATCTGCAAATACGAATTAGCTATATAAAATTTAAGATATTTCATTTAGTTAATGTATTGTGTTTTTATATCAAGAAACCCACCAGTGTTTAGTGGATAATTTTGCTTAATCTAAATACATTTTTCACTTAAATATTATGTAAATTTTTCATGGAATTAAATTTATTTTGTTTACGTACGTATAAAATTAAAAAGGGTATTTTAGGTCTTTAAATTAAAAATAATACCTACTCTTCATTTACTGCTCTTTTATTAAACTTTAACTTGAATCTTTTCGTTACGTATGGCAATTTGAAGTTGTCCATTCCTACGGTCGACATTTCACAATTCTTTTCAGAAAATGAGAGAATTCGTTAACGATACTAAGGCTTTTCGTTAACACGATTTAAACAAATTTGCATATTAGGGCACTTTAATTGATTTTTCTTTAAATAAAACTCCTCGGATCTTTATTTCCATATGAAATTTTTGTATTATATTTTAAATAATAAATTAGTGAATCTGTGTAGCGAGTAACTAAGCAAGAAAACCAATGTTTGCTTACTTATTTGCTTGCCACCTAACTCATCCTTGAAAGTACGTGTATTTACGACATGATCATAATTTACCCCATTTATAACTAAAATAATATGTTTTTTAAAGTATTATTCCGTTTTAACTATTTTAAAATATTATAGTTTTGAAGAATTAATAAAAACTTGTGATACAATCTTTACGATCCCGATATTTATCTATTTTAAATTTCTTTTTTATATGTTTAACGTACCATAGACCAATCCAATTATAACGTCTGTAGTATTGAATTTTCTAAAAGTATGAATACTTCAACAGTACTTGAAGTATATAGGTTATAGAGAAGAACTAAAAACGACGTGAGTAATTGTCGTTACTTGTTAAGCAAAGAATTCCAATGTACTACCACATTTCATTTAAAAAAACTAGTAAAACTAATAAAAGGAAATGTGATTTGGCTTCAGGTATGTTTTAAAATTACTCTATAGAAAGATATAATAGTATTGTTTCCACCATTTGGCATCAATATGGCATTCAATACTTCCCAATTGTCATATCGCAAACGACGATATGAATACAGGGAAGCGTGAAATTAGGCACATGCAATACGATCCTTCTTTTTGTCGACATAGATTTTAAGTTTATTTCATAATTTATGTATTACATTTAAGATTCTTCTATGAAGAATCTCGAAGGATCATCTGTGACGTATGCCATGGCCATCCCGGATTCGCTGAAATACGTTTCCAAATGTTTCATTTTTCTCGTCACCGTAACAAGCCTTTTCGAATTTAAGAATTCGGGATAAGTTAAATCTGATTAAAAATAAATTTGCATAAATTTTGCATAATTTGATATATTATTGTTGAAATTTACATACGTACGATTTTCAAAAACAAGATATAATTGCGCAAAACGAAACATGGATTTATTTGTGATTTCTTCTTTTAAATGTTTCGCAAGAGATAAAATACTCGCACCGAATTCTTTCACAAAATCACTACGTGACACGTGAGGATCTAAAAATGACTTTTGTGCTCTTAACACATTGTGAACATTGAGACATCTTTGAGTAAGTTCCATGATAATTCCTCTTATTAAACATTCCTCTGTTATTTTAATCTGAAAATATAAATAATTCACTTGAAAAATTTATAGAATAATGTAATCACAGACTATAAATCAGAAAGTATTTTATTTTAAATATAAGCAAGGTAACAATGCAAAAACATCGAACATAAAAGGCATATATTCAGAATATNACATTCCTCCGCTATTTTAATCTGAAAATATATATAATTCGCTTGAAAAATTTATAGAATAATGTAATCACAGACTATAAATCAGAAAGTATTTTATTTTAAATATAAGCAAGGTAACAATGCAAAAACATCGAACATAAAAGGCATATATTCAGAATATCCATCTGTTACTATACCTATTGTAGCGATAGACTAAGGAATCAACGTATTAGTGAAGCAAAAATACGAACAAACTCGAAGTTTAAACACTTGAACGTCTTTCATAGACAAGAAACTAAACTTCAAAAGTTCTTCTGTTTGGAATTAGGTTGTAAATTCGAGTGTTGAACAATAATGTTATTAACTGCACACTCAAGATCTTGGCTGAGACAGTACATATTTCTACAAAAATTTGACACAAAAGGGTCACTGTCCCACCAAATGAACAGATCTTAAATCCTGCTTCTTGGCACTGTCTAATTTATACCTATACACAAACTGAAGAAGAATGTTTTACGCCTAGTTTCCAGTTTGATGAATATGTGTAATTCAAACTGTGGCCACAGTATTTATGTTTCTCTAAGTAAAGCTTAGATTCTTTTGCTATATTGCGCCTGTAAATGTCTCAGCAGGTACAAATTAGACTGAATAAATGCACATATTGTTCGATGTTTCCTCATTGCAAGTTGTTTCAATTCATAATAAATGTAAGAAATTTTACTTTTTGAATTCCTCATCAGAAAATGCATCTTACTTGATGGGAAACGGGTAAAATTTTAAATGCTTTGATTCGCTTTGATGCTTTGATAAACATCTGTTGTAAGTGTGGAATATATTCCAATAGCTGATCCTCGTCTTTCATCACGTTCAACCTGATTCCTTTCTGATTGAGAATATTTAAAAAGTCATCAAGATTAGTGCATTTTTGCAGTCCAATTCAAAATCGAAGCAACTTACTCGAGTTTCGACCATTCGATTGAAACGTATGCTTAAGTAATTTTCACCATCTGAAACGTTCAAACGTTCTGTAAAGAACTTATTTCTGAATTAGAGTAAATTATTCGGTTACTTACAACTAATTTTATCAGCATCCATTCCAACTTCGTAACATTTATTCAACCAACAAAAACTGCAATCGTTCTCCCCCATCAACAGGCAATTGCCTATTCGTTGGCATCGAGGAACCTCTAATTTCACTACATTGTTGTAGAAGAAATCTGAGCAATGCAAACAAGCCCACACTCCGTATGTATTCAGTATTGCAGGATGAGTGCAACACACTGGACATTCTTAATGATTAAATTGCAATTTACTGTAAAGCAAAATTCTTTTGGAAATATTGCAAGAGAAATATAAATACTTACTTCTCTCCGAGTAATTTACACTATTCATCGTGTCGTTCCTGAAAAATTCCGGAAGAATTATATATTTTCAACTTTATATTTCGGAAAAAATGTGAAAATGTACAAATACAAAACATTTTATAAGATTAAATTAAGTTTTATATAACACAACAGTTACTGTAGTTGTCAGGACTTCAATTTCNGGGAAGAAGGCAGTAGTAAGAAAATTATATTCATTTAAATTCAAGGAATTATTCCAGATTAATTTTCAAAAGGCTGTATTCGTAAATTCAATGTATTGAAACTTGTATACAACAGATTACAGCGTAAAAAGAGACTTGCGACTTGAAACAGATTATGGCCTTGCAACTAACAAGAGCGTTGCAACAGATTACAGTCTTGCAGAAGACATTTGTTAAACATAAATACAGCAGTTTAAACTGCAACACATTACAATACCGCAAACTTGTGAAAGCGAATTTTCGATTTATTATAATAATAACCCTGTTTATATTTATACTAGAGCAAAGAGCAGTATCGAACAATTGTTTAATGTAAAGTTTAAAAGATATTCACACGCGTTATCCTCGATAAGTAGACATTGTTTACATTTCACTAGAGCCACCACAAAATTTAGTGGCAACCGTGGAAAAGAATAGAAAGTAATAAATTTAATTCATTTATTTACAGATTACACGTGGTATTTTATTATTAACATTACTGAATGGACTGCATTGTTAATGTTCAGCATTCTGCTATACGTTGCACTTGAAATTGTATGTATAATTATGTGATTTTTTAGTATATATGTTGACTTTTCTAATGTATATAAATGAGTTAATGAAAATTTGAATTTATCAAAATTCAAAAAATTTTTTGTACTTGACATTTAGTTCAAATGATTTGCTTAAATTACAACAGAGCTGCAGAATCTTTCAGATGTCATGCAATTTAAAGAAAATTGATGGATGGTAGAGAATTTTTGTTGTTGTTGTTGTTTAATTCTTTAATTTAGATATTTTCAGGACAACCACATACTTATGATCCCTTGGATGATATGGATTTGGATTATAATGATTAAAACTGCAGCTGCAACAACTATTGCAATGGCACTCGCATCTTTATTACCAGTTTTTGTAAGTAGTTTTATGTTAAATATCAAGTTATATATAATGGACTATCTGTCTTCCCTCTATATAACACTTTCATCGATCCGATTTGTGTTTTTTCATAGTTACGATATTAAAAATGTGCAATTAAAAACCTGGACACTTCATGAAATTCCATGATACAATCTCTCTCGCACTGTTTTTAATTAACGTTTACTGCATTTTATAAGTTAAAACTGTGTAATGAAGAAAACGGAAAAATGAACTGATTTGCTCTTCATTATTATTAAACTGGTAAAACGTGGACATCGCACCCCTTTTCTTATTTTATTACCTTCACACCTCCTGATAAGTCCACCAGTAGCCGAGTGCATAAAACTACTACACAGTGGTAGTTGGTCGTGTATTCGCGTGGAGTTTTTCGGGTTTACTCCGCGTGTTTGACACCTATGTATGGATCAATGTACAATAAAAGTCTTCCCGAAGAGCACCTACTCCTGCATTAATGCACTTCTATAAAATGCTTATCCTGATCTTTAAAACACTAAACTGCACTTCTTTTTAACTTTGAAGAATTCAATGATAAATTTAAGATCTTTGTTTCTTTTAACAATAGTCGTTTAAACATTTTTTTTATTAATACTTTACAGATTATAATGGTTTTAAGTCTGTCAACTTTCATATTCTGCTATACAGGGGTAAGTATTTAAATATAGATAAAATAAGAATACACTAGCTTCGATATAACGTCCTTCTTTTATAACGCACTTCGGTTTCTTTCAACACTCGATGTAATGCCAATTTTAAAAGCAAATCGTGGCGACATATGGAAGCTCGGATGTATTTCATTTCTTAATTCGCAAAACATTTAAGAAGAATTTTCTTATTTTCAGATATACTTTTTCACTTGCGTCTACAATCATTATACAATTCTTAAAATGCGGAAAGTTCTTGTTACACCTGAACAAAGATCAAATATTATTTGTGTCGCTAAACCTGAAGAAGATTTGGATCGTTCCGACAACATCCAGATTCCCAACAAATTAACATCAATTACAAACGATGTTCCTCCTGAAGAAGAACCTGATATTCCTGTATTTCGTTTTACTGAAAAAGAGTATTAGAAAACCAATTTTGTATTATATAGTGAAAAACTTATTACAATAAGTTTGTGTTTGCATAAATTAAATGCTTTCCTTCAAAATATTGCTTTTCTGATATTTTTACAAAATCCTTCTACTCCTGTTCCTATAAAATTTGCCTTTCTTTAGTAAAAAGTTCCCTTTTACCCGGCTACTGTACCTTGCCACTTTTCTTTCATAGCAAACACGCTCGCTCACAGTGCCGAGTGGATAAAACCACCGAACTCTGGTCGTGTGTTCACGCCTGGCCAAATGGGCTGACCACCTGAAATTTTTCGTGTTTTCTTTACTTTTCTAACATCTAACTAAGGCCATTTTCCCATAGAATACCTCCAGAGAGGTAACCCCCCTCGGCAGATCGCCAATGTGACTCATTGCCGTATATATTTGATTTAATCCAATCCAATGAAAGCATCGACCGGACACCGGCCAGGGCTGAAGTCTGCTATGGTGCATCTACCACTGACAAAAGATGAATTCTGTTCTCGCATCTGAATATATACACTAAGAATTATATCTTTTGTTTGTCCTCATCCTTTTTTTTAGTAATATTGAAGGAATTACTTTGATCCAGTGTTCATTATCCCGATAAAAACTCAAGAATCAAATCGATTTGCCAATACTGTACAAGGTACCAGCCGTATTATTTATTACAGGCAGGCTTCACAGCTTGATTAAGAAATAGGGATAGATGCTGTAGGTTAGTACTAGCCACGATAATTAATGGAGTATGGATAGATTCAAACAGTCATATTGTTGATATCCAAGGCCTCATACAGGTGAAAAAAAGATTATCATCCTATATTAACATAAAGCAATAAAATTTGACAAAAATTACTGTAAAAATTATAAGCTTTCGCGTAGACACGAAAAATTAAACAAATAAGCCAGGCAAAACAATCTTGCTTCACCCCAGTGATAAATACTGTTATGAAAGAAATGACTTCATTGAAATAAAAACACAGAAGATATGTACATATTTTATTAATTTCTCTTTACAATCACAATCTAGTCTACAATTAATTGTTTAAAACCATTTTACACTTCAAGTTTTCGGATAAAATTGATCTGTCATCGATGAAAAATACGTACACAGTGTATCATAGAAAATACTTTAAATATAATTTCTTATTCGCACATAAACAGTTATTCAAATAAATAATTTAAAAATTGGTATTTTATTTATTTTTTAGTTTATTTTCTTCAGAAATCTTCCTTAAATTTAATATGAGATCCACGAAATTGTAAAAACTTTGTAAAATTATTGTTCTTGCTAAAAAGAGAACAAATATAAAAATTTTAATTATGAGAAATCTCATTTAAAAGTGTATATTATTCTATTTACTAAATACTTTCCATCCATATTTTTTAAATTACTTCCCATTGATACTTACCTAACGTCTTCAGACGGAGGAACACGGGAAATTTTCCATATACATTCCATTGCTTCAAGATTTTCATTAAATAACTTTTCTATAATTTCAATAAGTTCATTTTCCGTATTTAAACGTCTCGTTAAATAAATATTGTTAGGGAAATAGATTCCTAAAAGAAATTATATAAAAAAAGTAAATATTCTTAATGTTTAAAAATGCATATAGTAAAACAAATTTGTACTTACTCCTTTGAAATATCAGAAATAGCTTAATGTTATAGAACGAGAAAATTCCGTTATTCTTATTCGTCCTGATAGCTTCTGTGAGGCGTAAAACATTTATACCAAAATCTCTAACAAATTCACTGCGAGATACATGAGGATCGACAAAGGATGTTTTCAATCTCAAGACATTATGAACCTGAAGGCACATCTCGACGAGTTCCATGATTATTCCTCTTATCATTGCTTTTGACAGAAGGAATTGCTAGAATAATTTTAATTATTTAATTACATTTGGGTTTCAATTTTGCGTATAGACTATTGTATCTGTTTATCAGGTTGGATTTAATTGATGCAATAACACTTGGGCGATCTGACAAGGGGAGGAATTTTTTCTCTGGAGAATTTTCTATGGAAAACGATATCCATTTTAGGTATTTAGTAAAGAAAACCCGGAAATCCTCACGTGACTAGCCCCTTGGCAAGGCATGAACCCACGACCACCAGTGTTTAGTAGTTTTATCCACTCGGCCACCAGACACACAGACTAAAAATCTCCGAAAGTACACAGATTTGTGTAATTACAAGAATTTGATAATGTAAAACTGCGGGGAATATACAGCATACTTACTTTTCTTGTTATTGGTAAACATGTAAACTGTTCCATAGAGAATATAGTGTTGAGAAACATATCTCTAAGGCAAGGTATACACTCAAATAATTGTTTTTTGTCTCTCTTCTTCAGGAACCTGATTCCTCGCTGGAAAAAAAAGACTTATGTATTCAAGAAACACACATTTCAAAATATTGCAACAGACAATCGTCGAACAGTACTCACTGGTGATTGAGTGAAACGAATAGAGCGCAAAATTGAGTAAGTTTCCCCACCTATATAGTTTGATATTAGAAAAATGTCGATGCTAATGTTAAATTTATAATTTTCTTTACTTACAATCAATCAGTTGCGCCTTCATTCCGGCATCGTAGCATCTATTTAACTTGCAAAAGTTACAATCGTCAGGAAGACGTGGACAATTGCCATTCTTTATACATTGTGACACTACCAAGTTGGATACGCAATCATAGAAGAAATCCAAACAGTACAAGCAAGCCAACGACCCATATGTATTTAGTATGGCTTCATTAACTTTGCAAATTACACATTTTCTGACAACCACTGGAAAATTTTGTTCTGTTAGTAGTGTTTGTTTATACATTAATTAATACGACATTCGTGAAAAAATACAACACATACCTTTATTCTTAGATCGATTTTTGCATACTCTTGCTCTAAATCTGCAAATACGAATTAGCTATATAAAATTTAAGATATTTCATTTAGTTAATGTATTGTGTTTTTATATCAAGAAACCCACCAGTGTTTAGTGGATAATTTTGCTTAATCTAAATACATTTTTCACTTAAATATTATGTAAATTTTTCATGGAATTAAATTTATTTTGTTTACGTACGTATAAAATTAAAAAGGGTATTTTAGGTCTTTAAATTAAAAATAATACCTACTCTTCATTTACTGCTCTTCTACTAAACTTTATCTTCAATCTTTTCGTTACGTATGGCAATTTGAAGTTGTCCATTCCTACGGTCGACATTTCACAATTCTTTTCAGAAAATGAGAGAATTCGTTAACGATACTAAGGCTTTTCGTTAACACGATTTAAACAAATTTGCATATTAGGGCACTTTAATTGATTTTTCTTTAAATAAAACTCCTCGGATTTTTATTTCCATATGAAATTTTTGTATTATATTTTAAATAATAAATTAGTGAATCTGTGTAGCGAGTAACTAAGCAAGAAAACCAATGTTTGCTTACTTATTTGCTTGCCACCTAACTCATCCTTGAAAGTACGTGTATTTACGACATGATCATAATTTACCCCATTTATAACTAAAATAATATGTTTTTTAAAGTATTATTCCGTTTTAACTATTTTAAAATATTATAGTTTTGAAGAATTAATAAAAATTTGTGATACAATCTTTACGATTCCGATATTTATCTATTTTAAATTGCTTTTTTATATGTTTAACGTACCATAGACCAATCCAATTATAACGTCTGTAGCATTAAATTTTCTAAAAGTACGAATACTTCAACAGTACTTGAAGTATTTAAGTTATAGAGAAGAACTAGAAACGGCATGAGTAATTGTCGTTACTTGTTAAGCAAAGAATTCCAGTGTACTACCGCATTTAATTTAAAGAAACTAGAAAAACTAATAAAAGAAAATGTGATTTGTTTCAGGTATGTTTTAAAATTACTCTATACAAAGATATGATAGTATGGTTTCTGCCATTTGGCATGAAGATGGCATTCAGTACTTCCCAATTGTCATATCTCCGTTTGCAATATGAAATTAGGCACACGCAATACGATCCTTCTTTTTGTCGACATATATTTTAACTTTATTTCATAATTTATGTATTACATTTAAGATTCTTCTATGAAGAATCTCGAAAAATCATCTGTGACGTATGCCATGGCCATCTCGGACTCGCTGAAATACGTTTCCAAATGTTTCATTTTTCTAGTCACCGTAACAAGCCTTTTCGAATTTAAGAATTCGGGATAAGTTAAATCTGATTAGAAATAAATTTGCATTAATTTTGCATAATTTGATATATTATTCTTGAAATTTACATACGTACGATTTTCAAAAACAAGATATAATTCCGCAAAACGAAACATGGATTTATTTGTGATTTCTTCTTTTAAATGTTTCGCAAGAGATAAAATACTCGCACCGAATTCTTTCACAAAATCACTACGTGACACGTGAGGATCTAAAAATGACTTCTGTGCTCTTAACACATTGTGAACATTGAGACATCTTTAAGTAAGTTCCATGATAATTCCTCTTATTAAACATTCCTCTGTTATTTTAATCTGAAAATATAAATAATTCACTTGAAAAATTTATAGAATAATGTAATCAGAAAGTATTTTGTTTTAAATGTAAGCAAGGTAACAATGCAAAAACATCGAACATAAAAGGCATATATTCAGAATATTTATTGTAGCGATAGACTAAGGAATCGACGTATTAATGAAGCAAAAATACGAACAAACTCGAATTTTAAACACTTGAACGTCTTCCATAGACAAGAAACTAAACCTCAAAAGTGCTTCTGTTTGAAACCAGATAGAAAATTCAAGTATTGAACAATAATGTTATTTACTGCACGCTCGAGATCTTGGCTGAGACAGTACATATTTCTACAAGAATTTGACACAAAAGGCTCACTGTCCCACCAAATGAACAGATTTTGAATCCTGCTTCTTGGCACTATCTAATTTATACTTATACACAAACTGAAGAAGGATGTTTTACGCCTAGTTTCCAGTTTGATGAATATGTGTAAGAATTCAAACTGTGGTTATGACCACAGTATTTATGTTTCTCTAAGTAAACCTTAGATTCTTTTGCTATATTGCACCAGTAAGTGTCACAGCAGGTACACTGAGTAAATGCATATATTTGTTCGATATTTCCGCATTGCAAGTTGTTTCAATTCATAACAAATGTAAGAAATTTTACTTTTTGAATTCCTCATCAGAAAATGCATCTTACTTGATGGGAAACGGGTAAAATTTTAAATGCTTTGATTCGCTTTGATGCTTTGATAAACATCTGTTGTAAGTGTGGAATATATTGCAATAGCTGATCCTCGTCTTTCATCACGTTCAACCTGATTCCTTTCTGATTGAGAATATTTAAAAAGTCATCAAGATTAGTGCATTTTTGCAGTCCAATTCAAAATCGAAGCAACTTACTCGAGTTTCGACCATTCGATTGAAACGTATGCTTAAGTAATTTTCACCATCTGAAACGTTCAAACGTTCTGTAAAGAACTTATTTCTGAATTAGAATAAATTATTCGGTTACTTACAACTAATTTTATCAGCATCCATTCCAACTTCGTAACATTTATTCAACCAACAAAAACTGCAATCGTTCTCCCCCATCAACAGGCAATTGCCTATTCGTTGGCATCGAGGAACCTCTAATTTCACTACATTGTTGTAGAAGAAATCTGAGCAATGCAAACAAGCCCACACTCCGTATGTATTCAGTATTGCAGGATGAGTGCAACACACTGGACATTCTTAATGATTAAATTGCAATTTACTGTAAAGCAAAATTCTTTTGGAAATATTGCAAGAGAAATATAAATACTTACTTCTCTCCGAGTAATTTACACTATTCATCGTGTCGTTCCTGAAAAATTCCAAAAGAATTATATATTTTCAACTTTATATTTCGGAAAAAATGTGAAAATGTACAAATACAAAACATTTTATAAGATTAAATTAAGTTTTATATAACACAACAGTTACTGTAGTTGTCAGGACTTCAATTTCGTGACTAATTTTTGTGGAACTGACGAATAAAAATTGAAGTTAATCGTGAGTTTGCTCTTGAATGGCTGATCATTTCGAGTTTTCCGGGATTTCTTTACGTGTCTAGCACCTTCAAATATGATCAACGCTACACAAGGGTGCTACGTGCCTCCCGGAAGTACTTTCAATGAAAACTGGCTGCTATTTAGGCGTAGTATGCGAGGAAAACTCGGAGTCAACTATCGAGTCGCGAATCCTCCACCAATTACCATTCTTCGGTGGTTTTCTGCACATAGCCCAAAGAATTTCTTCCTGGAGGCATCCATGTTTTTCAGATATCTCATTTGTTGCGTTGTATTATCCATCCGTCCTCAAATCCTTCGTGGAGAATACTTGTAACCTTCGATATGATAATTTTTGTTCCTTTATGCGGAACAAAAATTATCATATAAAATTACATAAAAAACGATTTTTAATGAGATTTTCTTAATTTCTACTTACGCATCTTGTTCATCACTAGAACAGTCTTCTCCAGACATACGAAAATATACACCATTCTCCATTTTCAAAGATTTTTCCTGGAAGATAATTTATAATTACAATACGCAAATACTTACTTATTTCTTTCTGTGTGTCTGCTTCTTTATTATTGATGCTTTTGTACTCACTTTTCTTGTTTAATCTATCACACTTGCCTAGTATTGAGTAACGTGTTACGTACTTTCATACCTGTTAGTAGGATGTTTACTGATTATATGGCTTTTGTTAAATATCATCGTTATGATGAGTGTTTAGTTTAATATTTAGGCTTTGTAACGATGATGTTAATTACTAAANGCAATTTACTGTAAAGCAAAATTCTTTTGGAAATATTGCAAGAGAAATATAAATACTTACTTTTCTCCGGGTAATTTAAACTATTCATCGTGTCGTTCCTGAAAAATTTCTGAATAATTATATATTTTTAACTTTATATTTCGGGAGAAAATGTTAAAATGTACAAATACAAAACATTTTATAAGATTAAATTAATTTTATATATTACAACAGTTACTGCAGTTGTCGCGACTTCAATTTCGTGACTAATTTCTGTGGAACTGATGAATGAAAATCGAAGTTAATCGTGAATTTGCTCTTGAATGGCTGATCATTTCGAGTTTTCCGGGATTTCTTTACGTGTCTTGCAACTTCAAGTATGATCAACGCTTCACAAGGGAGCTATGCCAATTGGGTGTGCCTCCCGGAAGTACTTTCAATGGAAACTGGCTGATATTTAGACGTAGTACGCGAAGAAAACTCGGAGTCAACTGTTGAGTCGCGAACCCGCCACCAATTACCATTCTTCGGTGGTTTTCTGCACAAAGGCCAAAGAATTTCTTCCTGGAGGCATCCATGTTTTTCAGATATTTCATTCGTTGCGTTGTATTATCAATCCGTCCTCAAATCCTTCGTGGATAATACTTGTAACCTTCGATATGATAATTTTTGTTCCGCATAAAGGAACAAAAATTATCATATAAAATTACACAAAAAAGAATTTTTAGTGAGATTTTCTTAATTTCTACTTACGCATCTTGTTCATCACTAGAACAGTCTTCTCCAGACATACGAAAATATACACCATTCTCCATTCTCAAATACTTTTCCTGGAAGACAATATATAATTACAATATGCAAATTTCTTTCTGTGTGTCTGCTACTTTGTTATTGATGCTTTGTACTCACCTTTGTTGTTTAATCTATTACACTCGCTTAGTATTGAATCACGTGTTACGTACTTTCATACCTGTTCGTAGGATGTTTACTGATTATATGGCTTTTGTTAAATATCATCGTTATAATGAGTGTTTAGTTTAATATTTAGGCTTTGTAACGACGATATTAATTACTAAATATAAATTTATTTATTTTAAAATTTAATGGCACAATTATAGTATAACATACTCTCAAAATATCAAGTTCATCATCAATTTTTAAGTACGAAAGGGTCTAAAAGTAGACTTTGTGGGTTCCAGAAAAAATTGTGAATATTACTGGAAATGATTAAAACTGCCGTCCCACCTGGTCCACAAATGCACATGTAATTCATTCCCTTGTTTCCTCTATATTAATCCCTTTTTCATTTATTTACGTTTTGTTCTATTTTTTTTTTTTTTTTTTTTTTTTTTTTTTTTTTNTACATTGCCGGTTTCAGTTGCATTTGGTGAAAGGTCCTTTTCAAAGTTAAAAATTATAAAAAACTATTTAATTAATTAATTAATTTAAGATCAACAATGCACCAGCAAAGACTAAGTAATTTAGTTTATATATAGCTATAGTTTCAATTGAACATGAAATCTTAGACAGCTTGGATACAAGAAAATTGATAGCAGATTTCGCAAACATGAAGGCAAGAAGAGTTCAATTTCTGTAGATAAATATTTATATGGTTTTACACTTAAGTAAATAAAAATAACTTAGTAATAATAAATAGTTCTTTTTGTAAAGTATTTCTTTTCTTTTTTCACACCTTTATGAGACAACACTAAAGAGCCTTTCTGGCAAGCTCAGCGCAGGTAGTCGTAGTTAAACAGGGGGCGGCGTAATCGGTATTGCACACGGTCGTTCAAAACAGCTTGCGGCGCCCCTGACTGCACCCCATTTATGCTATCCTGCAACAGATGTTACTTCGGATTCTTCACACTCATAGATGATTAAAACTGCCATCCCACCTGGTCCACAAATGCACGTGTAATTCATTCCCCTGCTTCTTCTATATTACAGTTGTCCCTTGATAATCCGACAGGTATGGGACCAAAGGTGTGTCAGATTACCAAAAGTGTCCGGATTACCGAAAATAATTACATATTTTGCATTGTTTTGCTAGCAGTAACTTACAATATTCTCTACTCCAACTGTTCGAACAGAACTGCTCACATAAAACACACGAAATGTGTGTCATCGAGTAAGAATTGGATGGGGAGATTCACATCGCGACATGCTTCTGTGCAAGCAGACACGTAACGGGGACGGGTACCTTGACGGGAGGTGCGTCGGACTACTGAGCATGTCGGATTAAAAAACGTCGGACTATAGAGGGACAACTGTATTCCCTTTTACATTTATTTACGTGTTGTTCTAATTATTTTACTATAAACATTCCTAATAAACACACCAGGATGGCTACAAAATGTTATTTCGAAACAAAAGAAACGAACTTTATAAAAGTATTTATATATTTTTTTAAGTCAAATCTTTTATTTTTATTTCTTAAATTAATATTTTCAGAGTTATTCAGCCTTATAAATATTTATATTAAGAAGTTTTGCGATATTTCACGTAATATTTGATAAGAAAATTGACGTCATTTCAATCGCAAAGTTATGCAAATTACTTTGAAGCAGTAAGTTGTAACGACTGCCATTTTATCATACGAACAGCTGCATCATGGCAATACCAAATTCACATGTTAATAAGTAAGTTTTACTTAAATATTTTTATTGATTTCTACATAATTTAATTCTATAATTCCAAATTTAGCATGTATATTTGTTTGAGATTTACATTAATTTTTATCGGGCCAATCAACCTTCTCAACGAACTCTCAATATATTCAATATTATGTTTTACCCTAAACTTGTAGGCTTAAGCAATAACGTATGCAAGGCCTTTTTCGTCCACCAAATAATAATATATGAGGCCTTAAGTTATAGTTTTATAATGAGAGGCCCTAAGCTACAACTTGAGAGTCAGACAACGGTTTAATATTTTTACACTGTGGCCTCACTTTCTAAGAATTTTAACCCATTCTCTTGTAAAAATATCTCTTGTTTTTAATCTTATCCCTATAAAATTTCATATAAATATCTTCTTGTATCCCAGAATCGCGAAGAATGTTAAAGACTTCAAACGTAAGTAATTGTTTTGAGTATATTGTAGTACACACGTTTAATAATTACAGTACTAACTACACTTACTTGTCCTTCGCAGGATGTAATGTGTGCTCGCTTAGAATAGCAATAACGAATGCATACGGACCATATACATGCTTGGATTGCGCTGATTTCTTTTACGAAAATGTATATTACTTGAACCTACCACGTTGCAAAAAGAATGCCAAGTGTCTTATACAAGTAAAAAATAGTTGCTCAGCCTGTAGATTAAATAAATGTTACAATGTTGAAATGAAATCGGATTGTATCTATAGTAAGTACAATAATTTTTAAGTAATGTATACAATAATTACAATATATTTTATTTATAGGACTCGAAATATATAATAATATTCGCTTGTATAGATTAGGAAAAACTCGTGTAAGTTGTATTTAAATCTATATTTCTTGTGAAATTTGTCACTTGTTTTACTTGTTGCATTTCACGTTTATATTAAATTTTTATAGAAAAACTCGAAATTTTATAAATTTTTCACGAGAAGGATTTATTTCAATTATTCACGTGTCTATATGCTTTGTTTGTGACAAATATAAGTTTTATCAATGCTTTTAAAACGTTACCAGATTCTAATAAGGTAAGGTTGACACAATAAATTAATTTTTTATTTGTATTAAATGTTAAAGAAAATGACACAGTCGATCCCCCTATAACACTGTTGATAATTTCGTTTTATATGAATTCCATGTTGTACGAGTCACTTATATTTTACAAATACGTGAGCCGTTCACAGCCCGGCACACGTATTTGTAAAATCTAAGTGACTCGTACAACATGGAATTCATATAAAACGGAATTATCAACAGTGTTATAGGTGAGTCGACTGTACATAAAATACAGGATTTTTCAGAATAATGTCAACATAAATTATTATTATGGCCTAATGATTTATTCAACATATTTTGTTTCGTTTCAGCTAATAATTTTTGCCGAATTTTATATTTTTAGAGTTTCTTACGGCGCGTATGCATGAAGAGAGGCGTTATTATGGAACTTGTTGAAAGATGCTACAATATTCACGACGTTTTAAGATTAGAAAAGTGTTTCATTGATCCTCACGTTTCGCGAAGTGAATTTGTAAGAGATTTTGGACGTGAAATCTTGAATTTTATAAGAACTTTGAAAGATCATATTCATACTACTCTTGACTTTTATCTTATCAAATTCATTTTAATATTTGATGATTGTGAGTACATTTAACACAGTTTACATTGTAAAGTATACAATATCCCTTGCTTTTATCATTTAATTTAATTTCAGATACTGATTTATCGATACATTCCTTTGATCTTTTTCTTCATATATTATTAAGACAAGTCGACGTTTTGGAGAAACTTCTTTCTGATTTTGAGTACGAGTTGGGATATATTGGGGATGAAGTTAGATTCCATCATTTCACTATGCATTTGTGAGTACTTTTCTACGTTTCTTACACGCAAAGTTCAGTTTCCTACACCCGATTTTGTTTGATTTTTCAGTTTCCTATGTATGAATGTTAGTGTTTGGGTATGGGGGCACGGTTATGTTTACCTTTTTTGAAGCTTAATAACTCCCGTTTTTTTTGTCGAAGATTTCTGCAATTTTCCAGGGAAATTTACTTATTTAGGATGATAATGGTGTTAAATTTTGGTGAGTAAAGGTCGAAGGGAGATAAAGAGGTCGTGCGTATCTGTAGTAGGATGTGTGAGGATACTTCTCACAGAATTTCACATTGATTATTGCTTTTTTGTCTGCCATTTTGTAAAAAAAGAACATGAAGTCGAGTAGCGAAACGTGACAGTACAAAGTTAGAGGGGCGCTTGATGACTGCAAGCACCCCTTGATTATAACTTTCTTATTTGTTACTTTAATTAAATTTTATATTACAATAAATTATTTATATAAATTAAAATTTTAATATGAAAATTATACTTTTTATTAGCGTGAATAGAAGATTTACAGATTACATAAATCGACATTCTCCAGAGTTTTACTTCATCCCAAACAATTAAGAAGAAAAAAAAGCAGAGACAACTTTACGTTAAAGTTTTAATTTTTTAATATTATTTTACAATTTACATAACCCGTGTTTGATGTTTCTTGTTCAAACTTAAGTTTCAAACATCGCATTTGTGTTGCAACAGTAAAATATCATATTCCATGTGCAACGTCAAAACATATGACTTGGATAGATTTTTATAACACTGTTGTACATGCTTTTAAATTGAATTTTTATATATATTTCGATGTAAATAAAATATAATTTATAAAATTTATTTTATGTATTGGTCATTTTAATTTCCGGATTTACTGTAAACGTTACAGCGATCAATTACTAGTGACAAAGTGGATAAGAACACTGAAAACTGGTGGTGGTTACGGGTTTGCCCCTCACCAACGGGCTAGTCGCTTGCAATTTTCCGTGGGGAATTGGCCCTCAAGAAAATTCACCAGTATGGTCGGAAATACATAACTTAATCCAGGCAAGAAGGGGCTCTTATCATTTTTCTGGAAGAGAGAACGGCCACGGAGCAAAAGAAATCAAATTTCTTGATTCCCTTAGATTTCTTAGGGCATCTGCTCCATCTTGCAGGATGAATAATCTTTGTAGAACATGATGAGTGTTCCCACTGGATGCAACGTGTTGCTTTTACATATCTTAAACAATTCATTCATTTGTGATGAATTAAAATCGGATACTTTCGAGTGGAACATCCTGTATTTTTGTCAGAAAAGATTAGCATCTCGTTGCTCAAACTTTAAATTTTTAAACTGTNTAAATTCACGATTTTAATTAATTGGTATTTATTCAGATTAAAATAATTACGGAAATAGGAAGAGAAATTTGAGAGATTTCTGCAGAAATATAATTCTCAGTCTTAAGTTTTTAAACAACATTGGATCAGTAGAGACCACAGGAAGTGAGTTGTGCATCATTCTATTGGAGGAAGTCATGAAGAGATAAAATCTCACCTATTATTTTAACTTCCCTTAAACTTACCGACTTTATTCTTTGTAAATCTTTTGACAAATATTAAATATTTATAATTTTACATATGATTAATTTGCCGCTCCGTGTCCTCACGTCAATATGGGTTAAACAGAAGTATAACGTGTTTCTGTCTAACCCGTGTGTAAATGCTAATTCTGCTGTTTCATTAAAACTGTGAAGATCAGAAATTTCGTGTTATAAACTTTAAATTGATTAGACTGTGTTTTGCTTACAATTTGTGTTATTTTTAAATATTTTGGGAGTTTTCGTTAAGGGCAAGAAAACGTAGTAAAAAAATTTATAGTTAAGCCTGTATATACGTACATTATTAATATGGGATGTCTTTGAGATTTCCGAGAACTCTCTGAATCAGGAAGAAATGGGAATGATAAGAATTACATACATTTAATTATGGAAATGTACAGAAATGTTTAAATCTATCCTATATTAAGATCTGGTTTAAGTGTTAAAAAAAAAAAAAAGATTTAGGATTTAGACTGGCTTTGGAGTTTATCAACGTTAAGCCCATATCTTTTTTATTTATTTATTAATATTAAGTGAATTATTGTAGTTTGCAGTGAGAAAGGAGCTATGATATATGTTATTCACAATTGATATTGCATAAGTTCGCTGACCTGGTGGAGATTGGGGACTTAAAATCCCACTCCTCAAACACCAGTGTAAGTTCTTCGACTTTCAGGGGGAATCGTTAATCCTGCGTCAGGATGAACTAGGGTCTTTCGCGTGTGGGTGTGGCGGAGGAGATACAGATGACAAGAATCTCACAAAAACCCGTTTACAATTATTAATCATTTATAATTATTGCGTTCCGTTTACATCAATAGCGGTTTTTTCTCTCGTCGCGATTTCATATGACTAACACAACTAATTCGATCTTTGATCGGTTTTTAACAATAGANAAAAATTTTTTTGAATTAAATCGAAATTTTTTGAAAAAATTTTTGAATTAAATCGAAATAAAGACCGATACAGTATATTTAATTTGTATAATAAACAAAACGATATCGAAATAAAGTATAGATTATATTTAATCCAACTCGCGCGCCATCTGTAATACAAATTCGTGTCCTGTGGACCCGTGCTACGCTCCTGTTTGAATAACGGATAACAACATGTCGGGTCTATATAACAATGTGAGTTTTTTATCTGCAAATAATATACGATTTGTTCTTAAAGAAAAATATGATTGGCTGTTAGTTTTTAACGAAGATTTGATTAATATAGGCAAGCAAATTATGGTAATATATTTTTTAAAAAAATAACGGAATTATCGGACCGCGTTTTTTAATCTATTTCGTTAATTTTACTGATCTCTGTATGTATAATATACGACTGGTTGGTAGTTTTTAAAGAAAATATGATTGGTTTTTATAAGATTTAAAATTGATNGAGTGGTGCATCATTCTATTGGAGGAAGTCATGAAGAGATAAAATCTCACCTATTATTTTAACTTCCCTTAAACTTACCGACTTTATTCTTTGTAAATCTTTTGACAAATATTAAATATTTATAATTTTACATATGATTAATTTGCCGCTCCGTGTCCTCACGTCAATATGGGTTAAACAGAAGTATAACGTGTTTCTGTCTAACCCGTGTGTAAATGCTAATTCTGCTGTTTCATTAAAACTGTGAAGATCAGAAATTTCGTGTTATAAACTTTAAATTGATTAGACTGTGTTTTGCTTACAATTTGTGTTATTTTTAAATATTTTGGGAGTTTTCGTTAAGGGCAAGAAAACGTAGTAAAAAAATTTATAGTTAAGCCTGTATATACGTACATTATTAATATGGGATGTCTTTGAGATTTCCGAGAACTCTCTGAATCAGGAAGAAATGGGAATGATAAGAATTACATACATTTAATTATGGAAATGTACAGAAATGTTTAAATCTATCCTATATTAAGATCTGGTTTAAGTGTTAAAAAAAAAAAAAAGATTTAGGATTTAGACTGGCTTTGGAGTTTATCAACGTTAAGCCCATATCTTTTTTATTTATTTATTAATATTAAGTGAATTATTGTAGTTTGCAGTGAGAAAGGAGCTATGATATATGTTATTCACAATTGATATTGCATAAGTTCGCTGACCTGGTGGAGATTGGGGACTTAAAATCCCACTCCTCAAACACCAGTGTAAGTTCTTCGACTTTCAGGGGGAATCGTTAATCCTGCGTCAGGATGAACTAGGGTCTTTCGCGTGTGGGTGTGGCGGAGGAGATACAAATGACAAGAATCTCACAAAAACCCGTTTACAATTATTAATCATTTATAATTATTGCGTTCCGTTTACATCAATAGCGGTTTTTTCTCTCGTCGCGATTTCATATGACTAACACAACTAATTCGATCTTTGATCGGTTTTTAACAATAGATTATTTTTTCTCTAGTTTCGTTTTAAATATATTTCTAATAATAAATGTTTAATTTCAACTCATTTTTGGGACCTCACAATTGTGTCTATGAATGAGCTAAAGAGAGATTAAACTTGAGCCAAAAAAAGCTGGGAACAGATTAGAGAGGAGATTAAAAGTCAGGACTTTTTGTTCTTGGATTTCAGATAAATTACCAAAATATGTATAGCCATATGTGAGTATTGTAAGAAAATATTTATTAAACGGTTAATTCCGTTTAAAAAATATTTTCAGATATCCGAAAAAACTTTAAGTAAGTGGTACAATAATAATATGATTAACAGATATAAAGTAAAAAATAAAAAAACAAATTGTTGGTATGTTCTTTTCCCACATATAAACTGTTTATATGAAAAATACAAAAGTCAATTTAATGATGTTTCTGTTCATACTATAGCCTCTCAAAAATAGGTTATCTAACGTAGTGAGTTTTATCCTGAATAAAGAAGAAAAAGGAAAAAGATCAACAACTAAATTCGCAGGAGTTGTATACAAACTGTCATGCATGTGTCTCATCCTAAATGTTATATAAAAGAAATCAAGTGTAAACTAGAGAAGAAACTTACAAAAGACAAAGTGGCTATACATCTAAACTACAGAGAATCTCCATGGTATCAACATTGCAGTATTTTTAATTGTAAAATTGATAAAAATAATATTAAAATTCTGTGTAAAGAAAATAATATTGTTAAACATCGCATAAAAGAACATTATAGCAGTAAG